ACAAACATGGCGGCGATAATGGACGAAAAATCGGTGAAACAAAGTTAAATTTCTCGCAAACGAAAAAGAATTGAGGCGAACGAATATTCATTCCAAGGTAGGCTCATATAAAGCTTTCTTATGAGCGACACTTGTTCTGGGGGTGGAGTGTCCCTTTAATAGATAGAAATTATCATACCAAAAATAATTTGCCTTTGAGGTTTTCTTGCTGATCTCTTTGGTAGCTCTGCACTCTCCGCTAAAATATAAAAATAATAAATGTAGTTCATATAATGCTTTCTGGCATGGGAAGTCTGCATTAATTATGCAGTCTAGAAACTTCGATGTTTCTTGTATTCTATACTGCATCCCAGATTGTCCTTCAAACTTGGCAAATTGAAACATGCATGAGTATCAGGCTATTTTTCTTCCTTTTCGAACGGAAAACAGTCAGTATAACCAAACATGAATCAACCTGACACAACCCAAAAATACAAAATTCGGCTTTTCACTTCATTGGTCTAATCATACAAAGAAATTTTATAATCATGTGTCTTAATTCTCGATTGGTAAATGCTAATTAGATATTACGTTTACTATTGTTCATGCTATATTTAGTAAAGTTGTGACTATAATTAGATTGTTGTTGTTATTAATATGTGAACAAAAATAAGTGGCTATAATACATTAATAGAGACGTGACTATGTTCAGGTGGCCACAGGAGATGTGACTATGTTCAGGTGACCACAGGAGATGTGACTATGTTCAGGTGACCACAGGAGGTATGACTATGTTCAGGTGGCCACAGGAGATGTGACTATGTTCAGGTGACCACAGGAGATGTGACTATGTTCAGGTGACCACAGGAGATGTCACTATGTTCAGGTGACCACAGGAGATGTGACTATGTTTAGGTGGCCACAGGAGATGTGACTATGTTCAGGTGACCACAGGAGATGTGACTAATATGTTCAGGTGGGCACAGGAAATGTGACTATGTTCAGGTGGCCACAGGAAATGTGACTATGTTCAGGTGGGCACAGGAGATGTGACTAGTATGTTCTGGTGGCCACAGGAGACGTGACTAATATGTTCAGGTGGGCACAGGAAATGTGACTATGTTCAGGTTGGCACAGGAAATGTGACTAGTATGTTCAGGTGGCCACAGGAGATGTGACTATGTTCAGGTGGCCACAGGAAATGTGACTAGTATGTTCAGGTGGTCACAGGAAATGTGACTAGTATGTTCAGGTGGCCACAGGAGATGTGACTAGTATGTTCAGGTGGCCACAGGAGATGTGACTAGTATGTTCAGGTGGCCACAGGAGATGTGACTAGTATGTTCAGGTGGCCACAGGAAATGTGACTAGTATGTTCAGGTGGCCACAGGAGATGTGACTAGTATGTTCAGGTGGCCACAGGAGATGTGACTAGTATGTTCAGGTGGCCACAGGAAATGTGACTAGTATGTTCAGGTGGCCACAGGAGATATGACTAGTATGTTCAGGTGGCCACAGGAGATGTGACTATGTTCAGGTGACCACTGGAGATGTGACTATGTTCAGGTGACCACAGGAGATGTGACTATGTTCAGGTGGCCACAGGAGATGTGACTAGTATGTTCAGGTGGGCACAGGAGATGTGACTAGTATGTTCAGGTGGCCACAGGAGATGTGACTAGTATGTTCAGGTGGCCACAGGAGATGTGACTAGTATGTTCAGAAGGCCACAGGAAATGTGACTATGTTCAGGTGGGCACAGAGATAATTATCGACCATTATCCATGCTGCGCACTCCAAGCAAATTAATGGAGAAGGAAGTACACAAAACCTTAGTAAACCATATTGATATCAATCCTGGTTTACTAAATCCAAATCAGTGGGCATACAGGAAAAATAGTTCAACGGAAGCACTGTTGTTACATAGGACAGAGATATGGAGGAAAGCAGTCGACACTTCATCGACTTTAAGAAGGCTTTTGACTCTGTCCCTCATCACCAACTACTGCTAAAGTTACAGCGGGCAGGCATCTCTGGAAATTTGCTGTTGTGGATCCGAAACTACCTCTGTAACCGACGCCAATTCACTAAAATAGGACTGTGTGATTCTGAAAGAGAGGGTGTTGACTACGGGGTGCCACAACGATCAGTCCTGGGGCCCCTCTTATTCGCACTCTTTTGCGATGATCTTCCGGACTGTGCACGGCATGATGATGAAGAATTAGAAATGTACCTGATGATACGACCTTGACTAGTATAGGCGAAACAGTTGACCGAGTGATCCTCAAACTAAATGAGACATTAGGCTTTGTGGGTGAATGGTGTTACAAAAACGGAATGACGGTCCATCCAGCCAAAACAGAAGCCATGCTCATTAAACGCGGAACTTTCGTAGTCCCTCTACCACCAGTACAGTTAAATGGTAGTTTAGTGAAGTGGGTAAAGAAGTCAAAATCTCTAGGAGTGACTTTGGACAATAAGCTGAAATGGAATGGACACACAGAAAATGTCAAACTTGCATTCGTGAGGAAATTAAATTTGTTAAAATCAATGGGTTTCCTTCCAAAACATATACTGGAAGATTTTTACTGGAAAGTAATCTTTCCATCCGTAACATACTGCATTCTTGTTTGGGGAAACTGTGGTAAAACACATTTCAAAGCCTTGGAAAGGTTGCACACAAGAGCCGCACGTATAATCTACAGGTTGAATTGGGATATACCAAGCCAAGAAGTGATACATAAAACTGGCTGGAAAACACTGAGCAGTACGTATAAGCAAAGAGTATTAAGCACTGTCCACAAATGGTGTTACGGTGAGGCACCAGACCAACTCTGTCAGAATATAATTACAAAGAAAGATAACAATTTAAGAGGATCAGAAAAGTTGGTTATTCCAAGACCAGAAACCAACTTCCTGCATAAGTCAGTAACATCTAGGGGAGCAGTATTGTGGAACAAACTACCGGCCAATCTTAAGAACAAGGAACGACATAATAATTTTAAAATGTTGAGGCAATGGATTTTAGCTCCTACACAAACAATAATGATCTGAACTATATCTATTTTTAAACTTTTCTAGTCATATTCGTAACACTATATATTCTTACTATTATTATTCTTACGATATTTAATTTATATATAAACTATATATATTAACATAACATATGTAAATAGATTTTACTATACTGGTAAACACACGACCACATCAGCAATTTGCTGCTTATTTTTATATCGTGTTTAAATAAATGAATTGAATTGAGATGTGACTAGTATGTTCTCGTGGCCACAGGAGATGTGACTATGTTCAGGTGGGCGCAGGAGATATGACTAGTATGTTCAGGTTGGCACAGGAGATGTGACTAGTATGTTCAGGTGGCCACAGGAGATGTGACTAGTATGTTCAGGTGGCCACAGGAAATGTGACTAGTATGTTCAGGTGGCCACAGGAGATGTGACTAGTATGTTCAGGTGGCCACAGGAGATGTGACTAGTATGTTCAGGTGGCCACAGGAAATGTGACTAGTATGTTCAGGTGGCCACAGGAGATGTGGTTTGATGATTGTTCCAGGTTCCCAGGTCTTACTATGGTGGTCGTAGATGTTAACGGGTTCACCTTCGTTGAATGGCTTTAGGATTGGTCCAGTTGTGCGGTTATAGTATAATGCTTGTTGCCCCTGTCGCCGGTGCAACTCATTCTTGATGATGCTGGTGTCATTATTCACACGAGCCCGCTTCGCCATCGGTAACGTTGTCCTTAACTTGCGGCTGTTCAGCAATTCTGATGGAGATTTCAACCGGTGACTGACTGGCGAACTACGATAGGAAAGTAGTCCTAAGTAAGAATCGGTTCCATCCTCATCACATTTTTTTAGGATACCTTTCACGGTTTGAACCATACGTTCTGAGGAACCATTGGATTGTGGGTACATAGGTGAACTTGTGGTATGCTCAAATCCATAAACACTAGCAAATTGTTGAAATTCGCGGGATACATATTGCGGTCCATTGTCAGTCACGAGCTTGTCTGGAATGCCATATTCTGCGAAGATGCTCTTGAGGTGATTAATGATCGCATGGGATGTAGTGCTAGTGAGCTTTCGGACGATGGGATATTTGCTATACTCATCTGATAACAACAGATACGAATTACCCTTATACTCAAACAGATCGGAGTTGAGTATCTGCCAAGGGTAACAAGGTGGTTCAGGTTGAAGTAGATCCTGTTTTTGCTGCTTACGTTGATGCTTCTGACATGCATCACAACTTTCAACAACTTTGATTATGTCCTTCGTAATTCCAGGCCAAAACACCGCAGATCTTGCTCGAAGCAGACATTTCTCTTGTCCTAGATGCCCTTCATGTATCGTTGTAAGGAGTTCTTCTCTAAGATTTGGCGGCATAACTATGCGCTCTTGCTTTAGGATGAGGCCATCCTCAATTGTAAGTTCTTCTCTAAAGTTCCAATAATCGTGGGGCAATTGAGGGGACTGTTCTCTCGTGGCTGGCCATCCTTGGTAAACTACCTCGCGTAGTTTATTCAAAACTGGATCATCTGCAGTCTAATTTCGAATTTGCTGCAGCTTTATAGGAGAAGCTGGAAGGGTGTTAGTAATCTGGTGGATATCTAGTTGTGGAAGTTGACCTTTGAGTGGTACAGCTTGTGGTGATACTCTGGACAGGGCATCAGCGATAGGTACTTGTTCACCTTTCACATACGTCACGGTTACGTCATACTTGAGTGCTCTTAACACGAATCGTTGTAGTCTGCATGGGCAGCTACTCAATTTCTTCCTAAAGATTGTTTCCAAGGGCTTGTGGTCGGTGTGCACAGTACACTTCTTTCCATACACAAAGTAATGAAATCGTTCGAGTCCCCAAACAACGCCAAGTGCTTCACGCTCAATGTTACTGTACCTTTGCTCAGCTTCTGTGAGAGCCTTAGACGCATAACACACGGGTTGACCTCCTTGTAGAAGCACTGCGCCTAAGCCTTTGAGAGATGCGTCAGTTTGAATGGTTGTTTCTGCATCAGGGTCGAAATATCGGAGTACGCCCAGCGAGGATACTTCCTTCTTCACTTCATCAAATGCGCGGGTATGCTCTGGCCCCCAACAATACGCAACATCTTTCTTGGTTAGATCGCAAAGTGGAGATGATAGGGTAGCCAGACGTCCGGAGTACCTTGTTAGATAGCTTACTAAACCGAGAAAGCTCTGTAGACTTTTTGCATCTTCCGGCGGCTTCATACCAAGGATTGCTGATACTTTCTTATTATCAGGCTTCATACCTTGTGGTGTCCAAGAGTGTCCAAAGAAACTCACTTCCTTACACTTGAACTGCAACTTCTCCCTATTAAACACCACACCCTTTACTTGTGCTCTTTCCATAAGCTTGACTAGGTTTGCGTCGTGCTCTTCCTCTGAAGATCCATATACAAACGTGTCGTCTGCTATACCAGTGATGCCATCGAGGCCTTCAAATGCTGTGTCCAGCTGCTTCTGGAATATATCTTGAGAAACAACAAGACCAAAGGGTAATCGGTTGAAACGATAACGGCCAG